ACAAACAAACAAACACACAGCTAAAAGTATCGGGTCCACTGACCGTTCCCTTGAGGCGGAGGACAGACGCGGTGACGTTGGTCAGCTTGACCCCCTCATGTGTCTGTTGGCTGGCAAATACCACGAAGGACAAGTCCCTGGTCTCCAGCTTGGCGTGGATGATCTGTCAGGGAGCATGGTACTAATTTATAGATACATGTATCTGTCAGGTATCACAAAACTAATATATAGATACATGTATCTGTCAGGCGTAACAAAACTAATATATAGATACATGTATCTGTCAGGGAGCATGGCACTAATATATAGATACATGTATCTGTCAGGTATCACAAAACTAATATATAGATACATGTATCTGTCAGGCGTAACAAAACTAATATATAGATACATGTATCTGTCAGGGAGCATGGCACTAATATATAGATACATGTATCTGTCAGGTATCACAAAACTAATATATAGATACATGTATCTGTCACGTATCACAAAACTAATATAGATATCTGTCAAGCAGCAGGAAACTGATCGATACATTTCTGTCAGGTATCACTAAACTAATCTATACATATCTGTCAGGGAGCAAGAAGCTAAAATATTAATACATTTCTGTCGGGTATAACAAAACTAATATATAGATACATTTCTGTCAGAGAGCACGACAGGGAGCAGGAAACTAATCTATACATATCTGTCAGGTATAACAAAACTAATCAAGATATCTGTTTGGGACCAAGAAACTAATATATAAAAAGACATCTGTCAGGTATCACATAACTAATCAAGATATCTGTCCCGTGTCACAAAATTAATCAAGATATCTATTTGGGATCATGAAACTAATATATAAAAAGACATCTGTCAGGTATCACAAAACTAATCTTAAGATATATTTAATGACCGAAAACTAATCTACAGTTCTATCATGTAAGGCAAAACTAATCTACAAATCAAACAGGGGTCATGACACTGATCTAGAATATCTGTCAGGTATTCATCATCATCATCATCCAGCGCCAGATCTGCGACAGACATCGGCGATCATGGTTCTCCATTCATTCCTTTGCTCGGATGCTCTCAAAAAAGCTATGTTTCCCTGATCTTTCCCTTTTACCCATTTGTTTAGGTTCCCCAAGTAGATTGTTCTGGACCTACCCGTGCCTCGTTTACTTTCAACTTTGCCAATGACAGATAGATGTTCAAGACCTTTACATCTATTCAGGTGTCCCAAAAAACTGCATTTGTCGTTTTTTGATTGTTTTTAACATTGAGCGTCCCACGT